CCCACTCAGTCTCTTCCTCCTAACACCCCGCCAGCTGCTTGTGTCAGAGGAGGCAAAGAGGAGTACCCACCAGCAAAACCAAAAGTCAGTGCTTGTCAGGGGAGCTGATAGCCTCGCCTGGCCCCTAGGCAAGGTGTGTGTGTGCGGGGGTACCTGGCTCCCAGAAGGGATGGAGCCTCCTGCAGAAGAGGCAGGATTGGGGCAGCCAGTTCTCAGCACTGCCTGAGCTATAGTGCGCCCCCCGGCCAGCTCTCAAAGCTGCCAGGAGCACATGGCACGGAGCTCCGGCAGGAATGTAAAAGGTCCAGGGCTCACAGTAGCAGTGGGGGCTGGGAGCCCCAGGCCTCTTTGAATCAATGGGCTGCAGGGCAATTACCCCCTTGTCCCCCCGCCTTCCTGTCAGTGGGCCTGGTGCCTGTGCAGAAGAGGCTGAGAGCTGAAGATAACAGCCCTTGTTATCATAAGTATCTTATGTTTTCCTTTTTTCTGCATGTCTCTTTTGCTTATATTAACTGGGAAGCAACCCAGCATTTAATTTCCTAATCTGAGAATTTTACAGTGTGGCTGTGTATTTGCATGTGTGAAGGATTAGCCCTCAGGTTCACATGGTGAAGGCATCATTAAGAAAGCTCCCTCAATTTAAACAGTCTTCTGTGATTCTATGGTAGTTTCAGTAAGATACTCATTGGAGTGCGTGCAGTGTTCTGTGTTTAAAAGCCATAAACAACTTAACACTGTCCTATGTAAATGTTGTGTGCAGTGTTGCTGTAGCTGTGTTGGCCCCAGTGCATGAGAGAGACAAGGCAGGTAAAGTAACCAATTCTATTGGGCTACGTCTAGACTGCAATGCTTTTCCGGGCTACCAGAGGTATCCCAGAAAAGCAACGCCACGTCCAAGGAACGTAGCTGCTTTTTCGGAAAAATTTTCAAAAAAGCAGACGTGCTCTTTTGTCATCCTTGTAAATCTTATTTTATGAGGAAGAAGGGATGTGTCGAAAGAAGACTTTTTTCTGAAATCTGGTGCTGGGTTGAGGCACCAAATTTTGGAAAAGTCTCTTTCGACAGTAAAGTGAAAAAAGAGATGTTTCTTTTTCCGACTTACCATTGTAGTGTAGACCTACCCTTGATGATACAAGCTTTTGAACTACCCAGAGCTCTTCTTCAGGTCCCAGAGGGCACATCTACACAGCAGGGCTTAAGTCAAAATAAGCTACGCAACTTGAGCTACGTCAATTGTGAAGCTTAAGTCGAAATAGTTTATTTCAGCTTTGGGCGCTGTCTGCACAGCAGGAAGTCTGAAAAAGAGCACTCTTCCTCTGACTTCCCTTACTCCTCGTAACATGAGGGTTCAGGAGTCGGCGTAAGAAGTCCTCCAGCTCAGCATTATGTTGGCATTATGTCCAAATAACTGTTTGTGTGCAGACACACTCTTTGTTATTTGGGAATAACGTCAGTTATTCCGAAATAACACTGCTGTGTAGACATAGTCGGAATGTGCCTATTTTAGTACCTGACAGTTGAAGAAGCCATGCGAGATGTAAAAGGAATAGTGACAGCATGTATAATGGTGTACACATAAATTCTTGAATGGCAGAGGTAAATGAAGTTGCCAGTGGGTGGTGCATGGCATCTCTAATGAGGCAAATACAAACAGTATTAACATTGCCAGTGCCCGCTGCATGTATTCTATTTATACCACACCAGAGGGAGCGTTGGCAAAGTGTTGTAGAGAGAAAACCTTTTGTTACACCTAGAGTTGCTTCTGTCAAGGAAAGTGAAGAACGGGGGAGAGGGCGGGGGGGGGGGGCGGACTTCTAATAAGCCACCCACCCACAGTTTAGCAACTGACTATGCCATAATAGAGCTACTATATATTGCATATTTGTGATTTCTTAAGGAAACATAATCAACTGAAACACAGGACTCATGGCTTTTCCCAGTAAGCTATTGTTTTTGTCTGTTTTTCCAGATCTACTGGGAAAATTGTTCAAGGCTAGCAACTTTTTTTCTGGTGCTGTGCTCCAGGCTTGGCACGAGGGGGCTTTATATGAATTCAGAGAGTGATTTGTGTATTAAGAAATAGCTCTGGCACAAAAATGTTTAAAATTACTCTTTGTTTCCCTGACTTCTCTCCTAGTTTAGATGATCCAAATCCAGGTCCCATCAGACTTGCCCGCAAGATGTAATTCTAAGAAAATACTCTTTTGTTTGTTTTTGAATGCCCACTTTTCTCAGATTTCTCATTCCAATTTGAAATTTGCTTAGGGTCCCTTAGAAGTGTTTTTGTGTTTCTTCAGGGGTTAGAAAACTGGGGGGGAACAATGAAAATGCAATTCTGAGAACCCTGACTTTCCAGCTTACACCCATCAGCTCTTCCAAGCACATCAATGCAGATTTTACTGAAAATGGCTTGACATTTATGTATTTTTCAGGGTTAATCAAGTGTTTAACTGAAGGGTATTAATAGCATGGGTCAAGATTTCCAAAAATGGAGGCCCAAAATTAGGCTTATAGAGTTAGTACTTACAGTGTATGTGTGAGCGGGAGGAGGGGGATTTTTGCCATCTGGCAAAAATAAATATTTAAAATTTGAGTCAGATCTCTGAGGGATGCAGTTCAAGCTCCGTGTTAGTGATGCTCCTGCTCCCAGATTATGATAGACACCCCCTTTTCACACGGCTTTAAATTAATATTTAAGCACCTAGATATGAGCTTGATTATGCCCCATTTGAAGTAGCAAATCTCCCATTGACTTCAATGGCACAAGCCTAAATCCTAAATGGCCGGGTTATTAAAAGTGTTCAGCAACTAGCAGCTGCCAAGTAAGTCACTGCTCAGCCATTTTGAAAACCAAGCCACTTCCTTAAGAGCCTAAATAAGGATTTAGGACTTTTATGTTCCCATTATTTAACAGCTTGTCTATTAATTTCTTCCTCCCATCCTTATGACTTCTCATCATGTGTGAAAGTATAAGAACCATATGGGAAATACGGCATGAACACGTATTTTGTTTCTTTTTTGGTGTATGGCCCTTCTAATAAACATTCTCAGCTCCATAGAAATGCTTATGACTGTTGCCTCACATTAATTGTAGTAGAACCTTCACAAGTGGTAGTTTTAGAAATGAGGATGATACATTATTCATAGTACATTTTAGCTTTATGGGGATATAACCAATTGGTGGACTGAAAATTATTTTGATAGATTACTGGGATGCACAGACCTTGTCAATTTCACCCATGCATAGGAATGTTCAAATTATGGGTTGTTTGATTCAAAACAACATTCATTCATAAAAAATTTCTTTTAAAAAGCCAGTTGGATTTTACAATGAATAAAAAAACCTGTGTGCAGCTCTCCCTCCCCACAGACCCAGCTGTCTGCTGCCAGTGGAGAGTGATGCAGGGGCCAGGACAAGAGGACAGCACTACATATAACAATCTGAACAAAACATTGTTGGAAAAAGTCCAGAATGTGGGACTTTTTAGCTTTATTTGAGAAATATCCTATCATTTTTCTGTAGGCCTGTCAGCCTCTTTGCTCCCTGAGGGGATTTTTGGCACATTTAAGGGAAAGTCCAGTCATCTGCAATTTGCTGCCTTGGAAGGGGTCTTTGTAATATTTAGAAATAAAGGAGGGAGTCTTTTGCAATGTTTGAATAACACTCCTGCCTTGTTACAGGACCCTGGACCCCCTTCAGGCCTCTTCCTCCACTGCAAATCCCACAGTGCATGCATGCAGCTCACTACTGCAGTTGCTGGAAGTTCGTCAGTCCTTTCTCAGACCAAGTCTGAGACTGAATCAGCAAGACTGAGCCCGCTGTTGTTAAAAGCTGCGTGAGATGACTACACAAAAGTGAGTCCAAAAAAAAACCACCAAGGGAAATAAAGTGATTTTTGGTATGTGTTTCCCTCAACCAGCAGGTGCCTCTATCGAGTCAATGCTTCTCTGTATCATCGCAGGCCTAGTGGCATAGAACTGGAAATAAACTGCCTTTTAATGAGAATATATCCTTCCCCATAATTTGCCAAGGTTGAATGTGCATTCTGCTGGATTGTCAGGAAGCAGATAGATAGATAGACAGATAGATCTGTCACCCATACACAGGAATTTCGAGTGTGTGTGTGTGCTTTTTTTGTAAATGTGAACTGCAAGTGTATGAATACATCTCCGATGGTCCCTAAAGTAAGCAGGGAAATCAGCCCCAGCCTTCCCCTGGCCGGCCGGAGCATGCCTACTTTGAGAATGATGGAGGGGTGCTTTCGCACCTTTCCTACCCCCAGGTGTACGGTTATCTATCTATCTATCTATCTATCTATCTAACACATTGTTATAAGAAAAGAGAAGGGAGAAAAAACAGTATTCCCTAAAGGATGAAATATCCTGGGTGGCAGGAATGAAGGATCTTGGGTCAAGAATTGAGGGAGGCACTCCACATTTCATCGGCACTGACTTTTAACCCCCAGAAAGTGGACTGAGGTTTCTCAGACAGAATGGTTCTGCAATCACAGCCCGATTTCTCCCACCAGTGCCTCTGCCCAGGTCTTTTGGGATGACACCACATCACACAGGCCTGCCAGAAGTCAAACCTACACAGGAGCAGAGAATGCGCCCTTGCCTAGGTGCTAAGAGATCATAAGATGTTAAGGTCAGAGAGTCCCTTTGGAGATTAGCGTCCCCCCCATGCATTTTGCTTTGGAGCAAGGTGAATTCCAATTTTTTGAACACGGGCCCCCAGGGGCTGGCAAAAAGGGGGGAGACAATCGTGACTTGTGAGGCAGGAGGAGGAGAGAAAGTGGAAGAGGCTGGGGTGCTGGAGCGGCTCCCCGGTTCCTTGGCTGCAAGAGACCGGAGCAGCCCCACAGAACTCTGCGGAGGGCTTTCGGAAAGAGCTGGCTTTGCACATTGGAGGCCCCCCCTCCTCCCCGGATGAATTTTTCGGGCTTTGACGGAGAGGAGGGTGGAGCTGGGGGCGTGGCCTCGCAGCTCTTCTTCTCTGAAGCCCGAGCGGAGCATTTGCAGAGGGAGGGCTAGAGAGCAGGGAGAGAAAGCGCGCTGGGTTGTGGCGCTGCCTGACGTTTGCGAGCGGGCGACAGCGAAGTGCACCCCGACTCTCCGCCACGAGAGGCGAGCGAGCCAGGAGGGCGCGGGGCAGGCTAGGAGCAGCAGCAGCTCTCCCTGTGCGCTGGGATTTGCTATTGTTGTGATTATTTTTTCCCCATACATTAATTTATTCCCTCCCGCCCCCACTCTTGCCGGCTTGGATTTTCCCTCCACTCCCCGACCCGTTTGGATTTTGAAAGCGGTGGCCAGAAGGAAAAGGGACCCCTTCCCCCCCATCCCTGCCCGGGGCAGGAGAAGTCGGAGCGAGCCGAGCCAGGGATCCACAGCGGGGGTCAGCCAGCCCCCTCCCCTGAAAGGAAACTCCAGCCGCAGGAAGCCAACCCGAAGACTGGAAAATGCATTGAAACTTTCCGGCAAACTTTTTTTGTGTGCGCGCGCGCGTGGGTTTTTCTTACCGCCGCGGGGAAATCTGTTACAAATCGGTGCCGTCTGGAGCTTGGATTGGCCCGCCGGGGGTTGGATCGGAACCGGGCCGGACCGAGGAGGCTGAGCTTTGTGCAGGGAGCAGGAGAGAGGGAGAGAGAAAGAGAAAAGGCTGGGGCGGGGGGTCTGCTTCTTTGGCGCTTAGAGAGCCGGGCCCATGGAGGGGTGAAACCCGAGACTGAAGAGTTTCCCCGGGCCGCAAGCTTTGCAGAAATCGCCCAGGGGAGCGGCTCCAGGAGAGGGAGGACCAGGGCTCGGAGAAGTAGAGAGAAAGGGGAGACAGCAAAGCCTCAGCCAGCCAGCCACCCGCCTCCCCCGACCTGCTCCAGGAATCATGAACTTTCTGCTCACTTGGATCCACTGGGGGCTGGCGGCGCTGCTCTATCTCCACAACGCCAAGGTAAAGGGGGAGGGCGGAGAGGGGCTTGTGTGTGTGTGTGTGTGTGTGTGTGTGTGTA